AACAATGACTCAACTAAGGAATGATGAAGTAAGTGCCTTCAGATCCTTGATAGCTTCAAGTTTTTACTTTAGAAGACAACACAAAGCAGAATATTGAGTAACAGTGGAAGAGAACAATCTGGAGAGGTTTTAATAATTGGGCCCCAAGTTGATCATGCTGTTTGAATGACACTGACCCTTTCCAGTGGAAATCAACCAGTTCTGCTGCTCACATCATTAGCACCTGACTTGGTAAATCAGGCTAGTAATGGGATTCAGAAGCTTTTCACTTTGTTAGTTTTGCCTGTTGTGTTTTTGTGGTTTGTTTTTTCCTGTTGTTGTGACATTGAGAAATAGAAAGGATTTTGAAGGGAAATATATCCACACAAAATTGGAAGTCTTAAGAAAATTTAGAGTAACTTGAATTGTAAGTGTCCAATTTTCAGTCACAAGTAATGACATTTAAACCCCTGTAGGAAATGCAATCCCTGTACTGATGTCACCATTTGGCTTATGATGTGACTGCTTTTGCTTCTGGGCAAGCACTTGAGTGTTATGCTGGCAAAGTCATGATTTACTAGTGAGAGCCTCTTGCTGGTGGCACCTGCTCTGCCTGTCTGCAGGGCGGGAGAGCCCTGGGCAGAACCACCCTCTCCCTGTGCTGGTTCTGGGTTTTGACGCTGGTCCGTCGCTTTTGGCTGCGCAAGGTAACAGAGTTGTTTCCAGGGGTTTGCCAATTCAGGACAGTCTGTGAACAGAGTGTTTTTGCTCTGGTCCATTAGAGCAGAGGGAGGGTTATTGGGGCATTGCTGGTGTCTTGTTGCAGTGGAGCCCACAGTCCTCAAGCTGCCTGAGTGTGCAAACAGCTTTGGAAGATCTTTCAGTCTAGTCAGGGAGCAGGTTGCTGTAGTGAATGGGTGTGGAGCATCTTCCCTGCAGCAAAGGAATGGCATTGCTTCACATCTGCTGCTCCAGGGGCCGAAATATCAACTCTTCTTTACCTGAAAGTCATCATGAGAGGAGTCTCCCTTAGTTAAAATTATGACCTTTTGCTTCCTTTTTAATTGCTGACAAATCTGTTTCTTGTAGGTTTCCTTGTAAATCTCAGATTTGAGTGAGAGAATGAGGTACTGTAAATGAGCCACAGACCTGTCTCTCTAATATTGTTATTTATTTCCTGTTCATGTGGGATTTTTTTCTGCAAAGGAGCTGTTTTCCTCTCTGAGTCCCCAGGTGCAGCCAGCACCATGCTGCCGCAGGGCTGAAGTGCTGCTGGAGTGGGAGCAGCACACATTCAGCAGGCAGGGGCACAGAGGCTACAAGCTCAACATGTGGCGGTGTGATGTAAAGGCATCCATAAGTTTCATAAGCATTTATACCCCTTAAAATAGCTGTTTCCACTTAGTCTTTTGGAGGTGGCAGCAGTCTTCCCTTCCATGGTACCACCAGGCACTCCGTTGCCAAGTCTGGCAGCAAAGCATGGCAGACACTGGGAAGCATGTTGCATCTTGCAAATTTCTTTTTAGTGCTTGCAAGGAGTTATTTCTTAGAGATTTTATGTAAAATGTCGAAATTACAACTGATGGCTATTATTTAAAATGTGCAGTATTTAAGAATATTTTTAAAGATGCCAGTGAGAAATGCTTTAACAAGGAGACTAATTTGAAGATAACCAGCTCTGTACAGTAAAAGTAAATTACATCTGATGACCAGATCACCCAGCAGAGAAATCTTCAGCCGAGGAAGGAAACTAGTTTCACCCCTGCTGGCAAGGAAGTGGTTGAAAGAAGGGGCTATCATTCTCTCACAATGATGCCCTCTCTATCCCTGTTCTGGACTTTCTTGTCCTTGCAGAGCGCTACCTTTTTTTCAGAGGGTTGCAGCTGGCACATACAGCATCTCCCAGGCAACAAATTATCTTAGTTCTGTTTCGGATCACAGGCAAGCAGTTCTCGGGATGGTAACCCGAGACAATTTGTCTTTGCCAGGATTCAGTCCTTCCCCAGATTTAGAAGCTGCTCACTTACTGTGGGCTACAGAGCTGTAGTTGCCTTTGCTTGCAAGGGACACCAGCAGCTGTAAAAAGTTGTCTAGATGGAGACTGTCCTTGTGTCCCGTGCAAACACCCAGCTCAGGGGAAAGCCTACAGCTGGTGGTCGTGACGGTGGCAAGGGAGGCTGCTGGGAAGAGCTGTGTGACACATGAGTGTCACTGCCATGTCACCTGTGCCACCATCCTGGCCTTCTCTTCACCACACTGCAGTCAGGTAGAGAGCCCTGACAGGCACAAACCTGCTGGGGTTGCACTGCAGGTTACCTTTCTACGTCAGTAAATCTGCTCGTATGCAAGAGAATAACTACAAATGCTCATGTTTGGGAGACAAAGAATAAAATTGAAAAAGGGAATATTTTTCCCAAATCTGACCAAAAAAATCACTTTGCCCTTTAAGTAACAAGCATGCATTAAATAAAACATGTCTGGTTTATGTGTCTTTTCCTGCTGCTGTAAGTCAAAATTGCTTATTTTATTAAAAAAACCCTGAAGCGGAGCAGAGCATTATTCAGCAAAAGAGCTCCCAGGCTTTCTGGAGAAGGCAGTTAGTGAGGGATTGGTCTCACATCACACAGGTTTGCTCTTCTGCAGCTGAGCACAGAATGTGCAGTGGCTGCATTTGTTCCCTGCAGCCAGTTCAGAGGCAGGTTTGGAGCAGCCCCTCATTTGCCTTTGTGTGCAAAATGGACGTATAATATCATAAGTACCATTTTTTCATGGTTTGCCAAAAAAAAATATGTATCCACTCAGCAAAATGAATAGCTTCATCCTCAATTTAAAAAACAGCTGCTTCTAAGGGAAGGAAAAGTGAAAGCTACATCATAGGGCTAGAACTGTAGGAGAACTTGAGCTAAATAGAGCGGAATTCCATTACTTTGCAGTCATGTCTGTACTAAGATGCGCAAACCCCAAGAACTAGCAACTAGAGCAGTCAGATTATTTTTTTTCTTCATATAGACTGTGATGTTTATTTGAATTGTAAGATTCTTGTGTGCTGAGCGGATCTGAGATGAAGGTAAATGTGCGTTAGTGTGCAGTTGGTAATTTCCTGTCATGCCTTCATGTTTGAATTCTACTGTACTGGATATAACCTCTAGGTCATGGGGCAAAGAGGTTTTGAAAACATGATTGCTGGGGTCCTGGGTTTGTGCCGTTGCATAAGTAATTAAGCTTTTATATGGCAATGGGCCAGCTTGCTGGATTATATGGGCATAAATCAATTCAGTCCAAAACTAAACTTTCAATCCTAGATTATAATCCTCACACTTATTCTTTGGAACTCCCTTTTTCTTTCTGTAGCAGCCAGGGCATTATACAGATCTCTCTGGATTTCTGTTTTTGGAAGGTCTTGAACATCCAAGGCTCTGTGGAGCCAAATTCGATCTTTTGAGTTTGGGGCATGGATGCATTTTCCCACTTGATCTTTGGGGACTGTTTCTGAAGGACCCTGACCTCCTGCAGGGCCCTACTCCTTGTGTGTGGTTTTCATTGCAACGCTGTGTGGTGCTGCGAGGCTGTAGTGCACAGAACAAGAAAGTATGCTGCAACAGGCAGGTGACACAAAGCACCTTATGCACCCCTCTGTAGTATCATGTAAATTTATGTATACTCTCTTCATTACTTGCTTGATAAAACCTTATCCAATTACCATCCCTTCCCATGACCTTTTCTTGTCCATCACTTCATACTGACATAGGGCGAGAAGGATCACATATAAATGATACCACTTGTAGGCAACAGGCATTTCACTTCTGCCTAGACCAGGTGTGAAGGCTGGGGCCTGGAGGCTGACCACTGCACAGTAATTTGTTTTATATGGTGGATGACTAGTGTTTATTTTGTGTTCTTGTATTACTGTTTGTTGCCAGTAGGATGACTGTTGATGTACAGTTTCCTCAGTATGTCTAAAAGGCTTATTCAGCCCTGCATAAGGAACAAGTTCCTCATCCTTGCTTAACTTTCTAGTTGGAAGAGGAAAACTAGGGGAATTTGTAGATTGTACACTGGCAGACTGTCATTATGTGATTTGTCAAGCACCCACTGGCTGATCGTGTTTTTGCCAGGGCTGTTGAGGCTGAGACACCAGAAGCTGATGGGAATCATGTACTAAATCCCATGATGGTGCTGTGCAGCCTCTGCAGTGGCCTGAGGTGCTTCTGAGCTGGCGTTGTGACCATGAGCTGTCACAAATGAGGAAAGCCTGAAGATTGTGTGTGCCCCGATGTTTTTGGTACCACTGGTACCATAACTTAGGGGGAGCACATCCTGTCATAAATGGGATGATCTAACATGCTTGAGAGGAGGAGGCAGCAGGAGAGCAGAAAGTAGTTGTGCACTTGCTCCTTTTTAGAGTTGGTAGGAACAGCCGTTGCCCTGGGTGGTGATTCCCACTTCACTGGTCACACCGAAGCTCTTGTGATCAGTCACGCTCCCTGAAACTTGGCTCCAGCATCTTCCTTCCTATTATGGTCATCCTGGCCATGTCTGCAGCTGATGCCCTAAGCCCATATGAGCTTCAGCAGCAGACTTGCTGGGTGCAGGCCACTGCTTGCCAGCAGGCTCCTGCATGGTCAATCTTGCACTGGGGGGAAGGTACCTGCAGTGTGAGCTTGGGCCAGGCTTTTCTCTCTCTCAGACTGGAAGGGTCTCAGCCACAAGAAATCACAGTTTGATGAGCAAACCTGCTTGGTTTTCCACTCTAGCATGGAAAATTGGATTCTCTTGCAACTGTAGCCTCATTATAAAGATATTTTTTCTGTAAAGGGTAAAGAAGGGACACAAGTCCCAGTATGCATAAATATTGGCTCAGAGCTTTGTCTTGTTACCTTGTATGGGGATGCTGCCTTGTGAGAGCCTGATATTAACAGCAGGTTTTCCCTTCACACAGAAAGAGTTTCGGTCTATGTTTCCTTATCTTAGAAGAAAGAATGAGGAATTTAGTACTAGAGGAAAAAAGTCTACAAACTTACTGATGTTCTGGAACCAGAGCAGAGTTTTGGAGTTCATTAGGATACTTCACAGCAGCCCCTTCCCTGGTCTGCAGGCACAACAGCTCATGGCCTAGGGGTTTTGAGACTTCTTGCAGAGGCAGCCATGCCTATTGGCTCAACATGCCTATTGGGTCAACAGCAGGCAGAAACAATTTCACAGAGTCCAGGACCCATAATGGTTCTGGAAAGCAAAGAGAACAAAAAGCATTCTTCTGTTCTGACGTTGGAGTGTGTTGAGGACCATCTTCCAAGGCCTTGTCCTGAGACAGTTTCATCCTTAAATGGGGAACACATGCCTGCCCCAGGGAGGTTGTTCTCTCTCCTCTGTTTAGGTAACTGCGCCTGGGTGAGCTGTGCTCAGGGCAGCCTAGGCAAGGTGAGAAGAGGGGGAACCTGACAGATAGTCAAAGGCAGGTCTGCTCCTGTGTCCTGGAAAGATTAAATGTTTCCCTTGGAACAGCCTTATGGGTCACTCTAGGACCACTTCATAGAGCAGCTGGTTGTGAGCTGACAACAAACAAGAAACTGGTGTGAAGTTACAGAAGGTTATGGGTTCATCAAATACATGAGCCTTGCTGAAGGAGCTCATTGCCACAGGGATCGACTGAAAAGTCTTGTTAAACTCTGAAGAGATTGCGTGCAGCATGAAGCCTGGCCCTGGACAGTCTGTACTGCCTTCTTTGCAAAATAGGTGCCCAGCTTACGGACACTAAAATTAATGTAGTAATCTCCTGGGGCTGTTGCTAAGCCATTTGCTTCATTGCTGTGGACAATGACACTGGGGTGGTGTTAGGTGCATGTTACTCTCTAATTAGAAAGTGGACCCTGCAGTGCGTCCTTGACAAATTCCTGACCTTTCTCATATGTGAAGCTATTCTGAGCTCTGTTCCAGACTGATCAGATTTGCATCCTGGAGCACTTTAAATGTTGTTTGTGAGAGTGGCTCTTATTCCCAAAGCTGTTTGTTCATGGGCACAGGAGAGGAACTGAACTTCCTTTCCTTCATGAGCACAACTATATCTGTCAAAGGGAAAGGGTAGGCAGCTGGCAGGCATATATCTGTTGTTTATTTTTGCCCTCAGACAGCCAGTGAGACATCTGAGAGAATGCCCCACATCCAGCTCCACTGTCCCCACATACGAGGGACCTACTTCAGCAGGCCTTGTCCCACAGGGACCTCAGGCATCTGGTATTGGGCAAGCAAACGCTCTCTTTGCAGCTGGAATCCCATCATTGTAGGGCAACACCTTGGTTAGTATTTGAAGGCATTACATCAGCCTAGTACACGGTGGTTGTTTGCAGGGTGGTGCAGACTGCAAAGTATGAGCACATTCTAATTAACATGCATAGTGGCTGCCTGTATTGTGCCTCAATTTGAGCCTCAATTAAAGGGTTTTTTAATGCATTTTAAAACTCTACCTCTTTTCTTCATGAATTGGGACAATTTCCAGCTTCCTCATTACAATCACAGTAAGAATTGTAGGGTTTTGTACTATTTCTTTTACTCTGTTTCTTTTGTCCCACCTTCCTCTTCTCCATGAACTTGGTCTCCAGCAGTGCCATGTCCTCAGGACTGAGGATGCAGAGTTTGCTTTGGTGTTGCTCAGGGCATTGACATCCCTGCCCAGTGCTGCGTGCGAGACCCGAACAAAGAGAGCAGATAGCTTATCTAATACAAATAACTCAGAGTAAACTTCCTGGGCCTGTTCTTTTTTCTGTGGAAAACACAGCACAGATTCTGATCCTGAGCAGCCCTTGGGATCTGCTCTGCTGGCAGTCTGTGTGTCTGCTGGCCCACCTGGACACACAACCTAGGAAGCAGGAGTTCAGCTCATGCCACATGTGAGACAGAGACTGGGGAGAAACTCCTCAAAGTGGAGGCAAGCATGGCATGTTGCTGAGTGGTCTTCCTGGGTGTATAATTTTCAGAGGGTTTATATGTTTTTTGCTTCCTCTTCTGCAGTCATATCATGCACCTGCCATGTAAGTGGCACCACGAGCACATACTGGCACTGCTGGCAAGTGCTTACAACTGGTGGGCTTGGGAGAACCAGCTACCATAGAGGGGGACTGGCACTGCCAGGAGTCTTGTTTTGAGTTTGGGGACAGGGGCTCTCAGAGGGACAGTGTCAGGATCTGGCACAGCTGCGCCTCAGGAGGCTGAGTCTGTGTCACCAGTAAAGCCTGGTGCTTCTCTGTTCAAGTTGTTTTTAATTCCCTCACATTTTCTGATGTCCTGTGTATTGCAGAATCACAGAGATAAAGCACAGGCTGTCAAGCAAACATGGCAGCTCCTTGCTCCAGCAGGAACTGGACAGTCTGCAGAACTGCAGTTCCCAGGGCAGGAGCTCTCATTAGAGGCCCTTTATTACAGACACACCTTGGAAAGTTCCCTTCAACAGGGCTGGTAGGAGCAGAGTTATTAATTTGATTTTCATCCTTTGTCAGAGAGAAAGGTCCCAGGTGGCCTCAAGAAGCAAAGGCAAGTGAGGCAGCAGGGGAGAAGGTGGTGGGTGAGAAGTGGCCAGGAGCCATGGGGCCTGTGGGAGCTGCTGCCCGGATAGGAACACCCCATGGGCAGCCCAGGCAGTAGGAAGGGCTGGGTCAATGGGTCCAGCTGGCAGCCTGGTGCCTATCCAGCTCCCCTCTGCCACCCTGGCACCCTACGTGCCCATCCCATCTCCTGTGACAGACTGAACGGGGCTGGGCCTGGGCCTCTGGTTCCAGGGGCAGTGGGTCTGGGGCTGCTGGCTGGGCTCTGGGCAGGCTGAGAGCGGCAGTGGCCACAAGCCCGCACTGCTCGCCAGGGCACACTGAGGAACTGTGCCTGCAGCCATGTGTGCCCAAGGGCTCAAGGCAGTCAGAGGAGCAGGCAATGGCCATGGCAGCAGCTGGGCAGCAACAGTGTCTGAAAAGGGACTTTGTTCCCTCCTGTTAGTCACGTAGCCATGTGGAAACACTAGATTTATTCACCAGCAGTCCTGTCCGCACATACCAGGCTTGACAACAGCTGGGAGCTGTGTGCCTTGACCAAGAATAGCCCTGGGGAGCTTGCTGCCCTGGGTCAGAGCTGTCTGGATGGGCTCCTGGCTGGAGGCTTCCTCCCAGTGAAGGAGAGGGACCTAGGGAGGAGGGAGGCAGGGATGCTGGTGGGGAGCTCCCTGCCCCATTGAGTGCTGAGCTGCAGATTGAGCCATCGTCACTCTTTCTGAAGTGGGTAGGTTCCCAAAGAAAACTGCACTGCGTGGCTCTCTGCAGCTGACTGCTCAGATGTAATTCCATGGGCTTGTCTACACTCGACAGCAACCTGTATTATAGAAGGGTGTGATTTTGCAAGTGGAAAACTCCATATTTAGGAATAACCATGTTAAACCAAACAGAAGGAAGATACTCTTATTCTGAAATTAGTGCTCCACATAAAGCAAAATAGTTCCACAAACCTCTTGTCTGAGAGGGGGACAAGGGGCAACAAGAGATGTCTGATCTGTGTGCAAAACCCCAACACCTCTATTGCTTGTAAAACACCCACCCTGAAGAGTGTTTGTAAGTTGGAGCAACACATACAAAATGGTTTGCTGCGATGTGGCTTCTATAGCTAGGCACAGCACGAGGTACCTGATTTCTGCTTCCCTGTGGAGCAGCTGCTTTAAAGTTCTGGAGAAACTCCAGAATTTGAAATGCTGACAGCCCCATCAGGCAGAGCATCAGCTCACAGGCCATTGGGAGGAATCTTGCCGTGCAGGTGTCTGAGTGTGGGTCTCTGAAGGGCTGCGTCAGGGTGGCTGGCGCTCTGATGTGACAGTGGATCAACCACATGGTGTCTGAATGGTCCTATTTGTGGTGCCAAATCAAAACTTTTATTGAAAAAAAATTTATTTCTTTTAGTCATAATTTACACTTTGCTTCCCAGCAAAGAGGCAGACTCTGAGGACTTCAGCTGCTGCTTACCCAGGGTTCTGCTGGCAGTGGCTGTTTGCTGCCTCGGTGGGAGATTCATGGTCCTTGCCATCTGGAGGTGTCAGGGCTGTGTGGGGACATCTCAGACACTGTTAGCTGACACTGACCCAGCATCTCTGCTGATCTCTTAGCAGGTGAAGGAGGGTCTCAGACTGGCACCATGACAGAGTGCTTTGACTGTGACAACTGCAAGGAGTCCTTGTATGGGCGCAAGTACATCCAAATGGACAATGGCCCATACTGCATCCCCTGCTATGATGCCCACTTTGCCAACACCTGCGATGAATGCAAAGAGCTGATTGGCCATGACTGCAGAGTGAGTGGGGGACCCACAATGCACAGGGCACGTCCCTGGGTGCTTGGTCCTCTCCTCATCCTGGCTGTCCTCCCCAGGAGCTGTACTACGAGGATCGCCATTACCACGAGCACTGCTTCCGCTGCTTCCGCTGTGACCGCTCTCTGGCCGACGAGCCGTTCACCTGCCAAGGCGAGGAGCTGCTCTGCAATGACTGCTACTGCAGCGAGTTTTCCTCCAAGTGCATTGCCTGTGAGAAGACAGTCATGCCAGGTAGGAGAGGGCAAAGTCGAATCCTACAGTTTGTTCCTGATCCGAGCAGTGTTAGCCAGCGCTGCAGGGTCTAACCCCAGGGCAGCAAGGAGGAGAGCTGAATGTCTGCTCTCCTGCCCCACTCTCACTGCATAGAGTGGACCAGGCACTTCGCTTGTCTGGCAGGACAGCAGGATCACAGGTTGCAGCCACCAGAGAAGCCCTGTCTGTTCCCCTTTTTAATGAGAAAGTGAGCTGGGGAGGAGATAACAAAGGCTTTCCTGGGCATATTCTGGTGTGAGCTGACAAGAAGAGAAGGAATGACTGAAGGCATGTGAGCGTCTCTGAAGATGGCTTGAGGCAAGGGAGTGTCTTTGCTTGGCCATTCTGGCACCATCTCCAGATGTAGGTTACAACAGGCATCTCTGCTGCAGCATGTGTTCTGGAGCTTGGGGCATGTTCCCACAGCCTTCCCCTTGCCTGGAGCCTCTCCTCTCCAGCTGCCTGCTGTCCTGGGGGAGGGCAGGCCCAGAGCTGTGTATGTAGGACCACAGTTTGACCTGCACAGCCTCCCATGTACCCTGTGCATGTGCTGCTCCCTCTGTCACTGTGACCGGCTCTCTCTTCAGGGTCCCGTAAACTGGAGTACAATGGGCAGACCTGGCATGAGCATTGCTTCATATGCAGCAGCTGCCAACAGCCCATTGGGTCACGATCCTTCATCCCAGACCAGAAGGATTATTACTGTGTCCCCTGTTATGAGAGCAAGTTCGCTCCTCGATGCACACGTTGCAAAAAGGTATGTCTGGCCCAATGGCCCAAAGCCCCCAAGTTCTCCAATCCAGGGACATGTTCCCCACTCCGGTCTGGGCCCCACTAGCCCTGGGCCCCACTGGGCTGGCTGCAGGTCAGCGCTGTGACCCGTGTCCCCATGCCACTGTGTCACCATCTGCACTCTCTGCCCACAGACCCTGACCAAGGGAGGTGTAACTTACCGGGATGAGCCGTGGCACAAGGAGTGTTTCGTCTGCACAGGCTGCAAGACCCCCCTGGCTGGCCAGCAGTTCACCTCCCAGGATGACAACCCATACTGCATCAAGTGCTTTGGGAACCTCTATGCCAAGAAGTGCAGTGCCTGTACAAAGCCCATCACAGGTGAGCAGGGCAGCCCTGGTTATGGGATCTGACCCCTCACAGCAGGATGTCCTGTTTCCGGGTTGCCTAGTTTGAGACTGGTTGCTGTGTCCTGCAGAAGGATTGCTCACAGACAGGAAAAGCCAGAGACTTTCAGCCATAGCTGGAGCAGCAGCTGCTGCAGGGAGTCTGGACCTGCTGTACGTGTCTTAAGACAGGGGAAGCAGGGGGTCCTCTTCTGCAGAAGCCCCTGAGAAGGTCTAGCCTCCTTCCTGTCCTCCCCCACTTGACCTTTCCCTTTGCAATTTTGTCTCTTACTGTTGTGAAGGCAGCAAAGCTATGAATCAGCTGGTGACTCACAGGGGATTACTCTGGCTAAGGACAGGGCTGTTCCTGGGCACCCTGCTTCCCGTCTGGTCCTTATCAGTTTGTCACAGTCCTGGGGAGAAGGGGGTCACAGTCCACAAGTCCAACCGTTGCTTGCAGAGGAAGGAAGCTGCCCACAGAGCCTCTACAGGAGCCTGGACCTGGGCTGGTGGCAGGACAGTTCTTCCCAAAATTTTATTAGTACTGTCCTTGAAAGAAGCTGCTCCAGGTGGGGCTGCCAGAAGCTCCCAACAGTCACCTCACTTAACTGTGATGGTTTATCTTTGCTCCCTGCTCCTCTCTGGGGAGAAAATAATGATTCTAGTCTGAACATCTAAACCCTGAAAAATCTGGTGTGAAATAATTCTGGTCCTCTTTCTCCCCGAGAGTGGTGATTTGTGCTTCAGATGTATTTGATGCTGAGGTTTTTTGGGTGACCACTGTGCGTGAAGACCAGATGTGGAGATGAACAGGCCAGGACTGGGTCTGCACGGGAATATTGTCCAGTTTCCCTGGGGATTCTAACACTGCACTCTGTCCCTCCTGTAGGCTTTGGTGGTGGTAAATATGTCTCCTTTGAGGACCGTCACTGGCACCATAATTGCTTTAACTGCGCCCGCTGCAACACCTCGCTGGTCGGGAAAGGCTTCATCCCTGACAACGATGAGATCCTGTGCCGTGACTGCAGCAGTGACCTATGAGCCTCTGAGGGCACCGTGGGGCAGAGGCTTCCTCTATACTTCAGCGTCTTTGTGCCAGATACCCCGACAACATTTCAGGGGCAGGGCACAAGGCACAGGAGATGGGGGCTGACACTGAACCACGGTGTGTTCAGGGGGTTCCTGTGCCTCGCCCTGAAGGCTAGAGTATGCTATGCTATGGCTCTGTGCAGAGTCAAAGCTAAATAAAGTTGAAAAAGGAGCTTCAAGATCCCCCATTATTTACTCTTTCCTTTTGCTTCCTATCTGACCAGGCACAAGCTGAGCCCAGGGCCCCAGCTGAGTAAAGGACAGCAGCAGTTTCAATGTTGGGCTGCTGGATCTGCACACCGGCAGCATGTATTTGCTCCCTGGCAGAGTGCTGACTTTTCTCTTTTCCCCCTATGCTTCCCTTGCTCTCTGTGATATGAAGCAGCAGCTCCTGGTCCATGCAGCTTGGCCATGCTGGCCTGCATAGCAGATGGCTTTGCAGCACGGTTGATCCATATGTGCAGCTGGCCTGTAGTAACCCAGGCATGAAGGGCTTTCTGCTCCATTTGGGAGGTTTGGGGGACACCAGGCTGGAGTGCGACTGGGAGAAAAGCATGTGTCCTGACATCTGGGATCCACCTCTGGATTTCTGTAGCCACCTCTCTGTTTGAGCGCCACACCCTCAGCTCTTCACATCTCTGTGGAGGTGCTCGTTCAGATGTGGATGAGGAGCTCAAATCACAGGTACAGGGCATTCTGTTCCCACCACCTCCCTGCCCTGTTCCTATCCATCTCAGCTGTGATCTCCCATGGCTGCCTCTGTGGTGTCCAAACTGTAGCTGGTGGATACTGGCCCACTGGTGGTCCCCTGAGATGTGCCTGGCTGAGCCTGGCAAAGGCTGTGCCAGAGACTGAGAGCACCAACAGCTTTATTCCATCTCTCTCATGGGGAGCTATGGGACTGAGCCCAGCCCTCAGCTTCACAGGTAACACTGAAGACTCTCACTTAGTTTTGGGAGAGGAGCATTGCCTGCAGGCTGCAGCTGGAGGGGAGGGTCTGTGGCAGTGCAGGACTCCAGCACAGGGTCATCTGAGGGGGCAGGGGGACATTTGGGGTATCCACAGCCTGCTCCTGCCAGGGCTTAGTGTCCCCTTGGCCCTGGCAGGCAGAGCATGGTGGCTTCCCTAGCCACACTCATCTCTCAGCCTGTCCCAAATGAGAAGCAAGGCAAAGGTGGTGGCACCTGGGCTGCTCTGAGGAGGGGCTTTGCATCTCCCATGTTGCTGCATTGGCCCTAACTTTGCAAAATAGGACATCTTGAGCCATCTCAAACTCACACAAGTCTTTGCCTGGTGGCTGAGCTGGCCCTAGGCCCCCCTGCAGTGGGATGCTCATGACTGCCTTGTCTCTACATCCCTTTTGCTTCTCTCTTGCTGGGGCACTTATGCTGATCCTGCTTTCCTGCTTAGCCAGCCATGTGCTTTTCTGAAACCATCTACTTGTGGTTTGTTTTTTTCCTTTTGTACTCTCTTGTCATGAATATCAAATGTTATGCATGTTGAAGTGTTATTAACTCTGTATGCAGATCCTTGTTGAACCCTCATTTGGAGGGGTTTGTGTGTTTGCTGTTCTGAGGAGCTTGGAGCAGTCTCTAGAAAGAAGTGTCCTATAAACCCCAGCCTTTTCTGTATTTCCTATGGCTTTACATAATAAACCATTTTAGTGACACTTGCTCTCATGTGTTTCTGGAGCAGCAGGCTCAGGGCAGACGCTGTCTGAGTTGGTGGTGTAGCTCTGAGCTCAGTTCTGGCCTCACTCCTACCCCGTACCGGGGACGGCTCACGCCTCCCCCTCCCCAAACCACAGCCCAGCAGCGGATGTACCAGTCCCGCGGGCTGTGGCAGAGGACGGGCGGCTC